ACTTCAGAGGAAAGAATATTATAATTGAACTAGTGCACTAAAATTTATTATGTTGAAAAAATGTACAGCAATTATCATAATGAAAAGAAAAACATCTGATCTCTAGGTCTGCCACTCCTAACCTGATTTTAGAGATGTGAACCCAATTACTAAATGTAATCTCCCTCTAGGAGGCAGAATTCCATTGTCTGGAGAGCAGGACAGAAGCCTTTAGTCTTTCTGTTTTGATTTCCCTGGCCAGTGAAAATGCCTTCCTGACCTATCCTGTAAATCTACTTATGAACCAAACCCAGGTAAATTACCAACCCCAACTGAGTTCTGCCTCAGGTGGGGCAAGGAAGAGTTGGTTGACTCCAGGGTATACATTTTCTAGTTTCCCTCTCCAATCTTCAGAACTTCCCCATGAGTCTTTATCCCTGTGTAAATTGTGTGTGGGCCTGATAACACACTGCCAGATCGTGGATTCATGAAGCAAAGAGGGTCTGTCAGATGTCAGAGCCAAGTAACTTTCCCATTTTGACTTGGTGAAAAATAGCTAAAGTAGTTCCACAACAGAATCCTATAGAGCAGCCAAAGAAATAATTCTCCTTATCTAAATGTGGCTGAAATGAGCTGGGTAGTAAATCCTCTACTTCGACCACCACCCTACATTTAAAGGAAAGAACAGCTATGATCATTTATGCAAAATATGAACAACAAACATCAAAACTGCCTGCCCTTTGTGGTTATGTTTTAAGCCCAATATATTATGACATACTATCTTTACAAACTCACATAAGAGCCTTGATGAGTATGTATGCAAAACTAAGCTGTCCAAATCAAGCCCGGACCTTTTAGATAGATTCAAATAAAACCACAAGGAGAGCCACAAATCTTAAAGTAGTTAAAGGAAATCATTTGCTCACTTTGGGAATAACTGCCACGACAAAAATAAATGGCAACAGTTAAATTCCACAGTTATTTTATTATGGGAAATTCTTTTGAATGATGGAACATGACATGGTTATTATGATTTTCTCAAGATGTGACAAGAAGATTAATCTTCTCACTACATTTTGCTACATTTATCATTCAAAGTTTTACAAGTTTTAATTCTCCCCCCAAAAAAACACATTTTAAAAATCACTATTACTATTAGGTATAGATCTATTATTCTGATAAGTAGTAAAGAGGTTTGTGCCAAAACATTTAATATCTGAAAACTATATGGCTGATGATGACAATAGGTAACTTCTATATAGCACACATATATGTTTTACAAATATCATATAATTTTATCCTTATAACAACCCTGAGAGATGTTATTATTATCCCCATTTTACAGATATGAAAGCTGAGAAACTGAGGCAGAGGTTTAAGTTACTTGCCCAGGGTTACAAAGTGTCTGTGTTCAGATCTGAACTTGTTTTGTGACTACAGGTCCAGCACACTATCCATTGTACCTGCTACATCACTTCTAAATGATGATAAGAGTTATTAGTACTACATACTATTTCCTATCAAATTTCAGAAGAAAAGGCATACTATTTCTTAAAAACAAATGCATTTTGTTAACATGTAATCTCCTGAATTTTTTTTTTATTTTGCATGTGCTTTGCTATGTTGCATCCCTTCCACTTAGCACTATGCTTTGCATCTAATAGGAACTCAATAAATGTGGAATTGCTTATCTTAAGAGAGCTAGGGAAGGGGTAAAAGCCTTTTAGGGCAGTAGAGATTAAAGTATTTTTCCTTACTCTTTGCCTACTTTTGATTAATGACTGTTTCTGCGGCAATCTGAGGTCCAATTACATATGTTAGAAGTTCAATGTTCTTTGATAATCTTCTTATCATGCCAAAAGTCTTTGAGAGAAATAAAAATTACATTTACTTTGCAGCTGACCAACCAAAGATTCCACCAGCATCATCAAATAGATCTTTACACTAAGTTTTCTATTTCAGCCAATTAAAATGAATTCCTACCTTCAACCCTGACTAGAAAATAACTTGAAGATGTCATGTGTACCTTTCAGTACAAATGGAAGTTAGTACCTACTGCCTTGCTACACAGGACTCTCCTTGCTTCTCCATCAACTCTATTTTTCGGACTTGCTCTGTAACCACCTTTAATTTTTATTGCAGAGCATTTTCACCTCTGATGTATCACCCACTTACAGAACACACAAAGTGCAAAGGATTTCCTACTTCCTAATAATGGCATTTTCCATGAAAAAAAAAATTACAATGAAGAGTTAACCAAAAACAAAACAAATGACACAACATAAACCTTCCTAACTCTTCATGTTGGCTTATGCAAAAGCCTGATATAGATAATTTTTTTAAAAGTCAGGTACCACAAAAAAATAATTTCATTAATAAGTAAAGTCAAATGTCTTCCACTGGTGTATAAGGATGATTTTTCACCTTTTTTGTAGTATTTTTAAAAAAAAATTTTTGTAGTTAGTAAGCTAGGAAATTGTTACTAGGAAATACCTGCTGACCTAAATATGGTACTGAAATACCTACTACTAGTTTGATATCATAAATCAATTTTTAAAAAAAGGCATGTCAAGCATACATTTAGTAGCCATGAATGAGAAATGCATTATTCTTTTTTAGAACAGAAGTTTCAGACATAAGACAAGTCATTAATGTTTACCACCAATAATAATAATAATAATAATAATAATAATAATAACAATAACAATAATAATAATAATAATAATGTCATAATCAAATGGATTAGACAGAAACACCAGTTGAAGACTTTCATCTTATGGTCATTACAATATTTTATTTTAGATAGCTACCCCAATGATGAAATGAAATATTAATCTATTAGGCACAAAAAATTAAACAATAAAAATATTCAAGATCTTAAAGAAATGTATTTCAGAAAAAAAGATGTCTGTGCATATTGCACAGTAAGAAGATATTCTGCTCAAGCTTTTTAGTAAACTCCCATGTTAGCAAAGAACTTTTTGTAGGTGTGTCTCAGATAATTATGAATGTCCTTATATGCTTTTAGAATTAAATCTTTTCTATTTCAATAGAGTAGAACATAGTTACTAGGTACTGGAAAAATGAACTTTCTTTTTAAACATAAAAAAAATTCCCCCATGTGTCATTATCTTGCATATATTTCAAAGAGGAATACTATTATAAAAGTACAATAATAAATTCAAGAGAGGTTTTATAAGTAAAAGTCTTAATCAGCTATCACAATAACGGCTTGAACTGATGATCTGAGTAACATAGCCACTGGAAGAAAAACCCAATCGAGTAATCACCAAACTTCAATGTCATCCAACAGTTTTTGAAAGTAAGTGAAAAATCATACACAAATCAGTCTTGACTCTCCCACTGCTGATAGTAATAAAGATACAGTACATAACTTACTTTTACCTAAAATCTGTTTATAACATAATAAACAACAGATTTTCATTTTTATTCCTCTATGCTATGAACTACATTACAAACCATCTATCAATTTAAACATTATGTACAAAAAGCCATCTGTGACATATGTTTCAGAAAGTACAAATCTGCTACCATGAAAGGCTGGACCTTCAACCCACTTCAATCTGTCTGTTTAGCCAGAAAAAATAAAGTTTTTTTTTCTTTTTCTTTAAAGGTCACACATATTTCAGATTTTAAAATGTGGCTTGTCTTCCATAAAAATATGTATATTTAACCTCTTCATCTTCTAACTTTTCTCTCTTTCCATAATTATTCTCAGCCTCCTAACGGTTAGTTTTTCTACACTAATCTTTACTTCTTATGTGGCACAGTAAGAACTATTTATAGGCACACAACTAATTATGTGCAGTTGTATACATGTGCATGGCATATATTTTGCACAAGTGTGTGCAGAAGTTGACATTTTAAATTTTTTTCAAATATTGAGCAACAGGTACTGGTATTGCTTACAAGTACAATATCCTTAGTAAAATGACATTGATATTTTATTATATCAACACCTGAACACCACTATTCATTTATGGGGAATCAAAATAATCACAAAGAGATGCATGACAGAATCAAATCCAATCAGGAGGATGAGACTTTTTTAAGACCTTCCTATGTTTCGATATTCAATGCTTTTGTGATAAATTAATGTCATCATCACCCAGGTGTCAATACAACTCCATTGAATTATGGCATATTATTGGCTATTTGTTGAGTTGAATGGCAAGAAGAGTATTTTAACACAGTTCTGCCAAGTCCTTATCTTCAAGTTCCCTTCCCTTTGTGCCTGACTGCTCCCAAAACTATCAAAGTAAAGCAAATGACAGTTAAACCCTCTCAGTTTTACCAGAGTTCTAGTGAAAATGAAAACACCTTGGAACTACTAGACTGGGCCACGTTGGTTTTGATCGTGGGGGCGGGGGTGGGGGAACAGAAGACACTTCAAAAGAAAGAGATGGATTTCATGGCATCTGTTTAACCAGATCTAGTTACAGTGTATTAAGTTATGTTTAAATGAGAACAAGACTCTGTCTAGTCAAGTGTTTTATCACAAAGTCATGTTATTAAAGTATCAAGTATTCCCACAGTTTCCTTTAGATTTTTATGCAATCCCCTTTGCTAATGTTAGAGGAGGAGGGGGAAAATTCCAATAACAATAACAAAAAAAAAATTGCAATGCCAGGCAAATTCATTCTGTCATCCCTAGGCTTTTCTGTGCCTCGTTACCAAGCTCCTTTTATTATACCGCACGCTTGTTGTATCTAGGACTTTGCCTCTTCCCCATGTAAGCAGCATGTACCAGGTACAATTCAGTCTTTGAGCGCTCAGCATCGTGCTTTGTGCTGCTGAGGATAACGGGATTCGTGGTCCTAAATGCATCCATCAAATACTGAAAATTCAGAAAGGTCTCTAGGCTGCAGGAAGGGAAACAATGTGTTTAGATCCTTGGCTGCTTTCGGCTACATGGCTCCTCGTTTTCCTGGAGCACACGAAATATTTTGGGGAGCAGCCTATGCAAGGAGAAGAAAGCCCTACAGGAGCTGTACTCTTACCTCCACATTGAAATACTGCTCCGCTCCGCAGACTGTAGCCCATAAAATCCACAGAAAGGTTTGCAAGAAAAACACCCCGGAATGATGCACGAAATCCAACCGTCTTGCAGTGCTGAATGTGAGTAAGATCATAGTGAACTGTGCTTCAATGGATGGACGAGCTCCCCCTTCTCTTTCTCTCCTCTCCGTCCTTTCCCTCGCCCTCCCTCTTTCGTTCCAAAACGCTTCTCCTTCTTCAAAATATAAAAATAATATTTTTTTAAAAAGTCCTGGGGCTGGGTGATGAGCCCTGCAGGTTCACCCACAGCCGGCCGACTGGGGCTTCGAGGGAGTCTGAGGAGGAAGGCGCACTTCACTCCCGATAGCTCGGGAGGAGCAGCCGAGGCAGGCGGGAGAAGGGTCAGCAGCTCGCGCACACCATCCTCACGAGTCCGTCCTTCTCCGGGAATGTGGCGCCCAAGTTCACCCGCTGCTCCTGCTGAGGTTTCCCTATTCGCAGCAGCAGCAGCCGCTGCCGCCGCCGCCGCCTCCGCCGCCTCCTGTCGGTGTGTCCTCCTCCTGCTGCTTCTCCTCCTCCTTCCCCTCCTTCTCCTCCCCCTCCTCCTCCTCTTCCCCCTTCTCCTCCTCTTCCTCCTCCTCCTCCTCCTGCTCTTCCACCTCCTCCCCCTCCTCCACCTCCTCTTCCTCCTCCTCTTCCTCCTCCTCCTCCACCTTCTCCTCCTCCTCCTGCTCCTGCGAGAAAGGCCTCTTTGCCACTGCCTGCTCCTTGCTCCCTAGCCTCTGCTTCTCTCTGCTCTCCTCTCTCCACTCCAGAATGTTCATCCGTAATCTACATAACTCCTCCTTCCACGGACTCTCCGTCCTCTCTCTCTCCTCTCTCTCTCTCTCTCTCTCTTCTCTCTCTCTCTCTCTCTCTCTCTCCTCTCTCTCTTCTCCTCTCTTCTCCCTCTCTCTCCTCTCCTCTCTCTCTCCTCTCCTCTCCCTCTCCCTCTCCCTCTCCCTTCTCTCCCTCTCCCTCCTCATACACACACACACATACATATACACACACGCACATGCACAGGCGCACGTCTTAAAGGAGACAGCCCTTAAAAGGCTGCACCGCTACTGTACCTCTTACTGTAAAGGAACAAGCGAGAATGGATTCAGTGATAGCCCACCCCCATCTGGCGGGCCGCTTTGCTATCATCCTCCTCCTTTGGACTCTTTGCCCTTTTATCACGTCCATCCTTCCCCTCTCTCTCCACCCGGGAACAAGTGCTCCCCTCCCACGCCTTGCCCCCATGGAGCCAGGGATGTCTTGGTGGCTGTGGGGGTGGGGATGGGGTGGGGGTCGAGGGAGAACCAGACTTTGTGCTAGAAAGCGCCGGTTGTCCCTGCTAATTGTCTGTATTGGAAGCTTCGAGACTAGCGGAATTTGGGGCTCCGGTCTGGCGTCTAGGCAGCGCAGGTTTGGAGAGCAGGAGGGAGCAACGTGGCTCGGAAACTTTGTTGGCTCCCTAAGTATGGCCTTGAATTACCCTGCCCCACCCCCAAGGGGCGCGGGAAAAAGGAAGACCTGTGAGGAGGTCCTAGGGTGCTGTGATAGGAGGCGTCAGGGAAGTCTGGAGTGGTGTGAGAATGCAGAAACTGTGGCAAAGACAGCTCACCTCCCCAGTCCCCACCCCACAGCCGAATGCACACACACGCAGACACCCCAGGGAACTAGGGTAGGAGTGCTCGAGGAGGCAATCGGCAGGGGAGGGTGAAGGGCTCTCGGGAGAGACAGGCAGGCAGCCTGAGAGAGGGAGGCAGGCGGCTGCAGGCTGAAGAGGAAGGCGATGAGCGCAGCCAGAGGAAAGGCAAACAGAGCAGCTGGTATTGGCGGGAGAAAGAGGGAGAGCGCAGACAGAGCGGGGGAGAAACAGGCAGGCGTGAGGAGAGCTCCAGGCGAGAGGGGGAGGCGGCTGGCAGGAGGAGATGGAGTGAGGGCCCGAGAACTTTGGGGAAGATTTCCAAGGAACATTGGTGGAGCAATGAGAGGCAATGGACAGGGGTGGCAGCAACTACCAGCCCCTGGCAGGTGATATAGGATAGCAGGAAGGGAAAGGGGAGGTTGGTATAACGGCAGGTATCTTTCGGTGGACAAAACCTGAGAGCTTATTCTCTGCAGGGGCAGTGAAGAAAAGAGGAACCAACAGGAGACAGAAGTCTAGGGACAGCCAACATGAGGTTTGGCATGGACTTTTAAGGCTATTAGAGGACTTTACCCCCTAGGTGAGAAAAGAGCACGAAAGGGGTAGAGTTGAGGAGAGGGCACATTTATAGAACTGATAACAGTGAGAAACAAAAGGCAAAAGGATGTTTGTTGGGTAGCATACAATTCTCATTTTTAAATGGTTGGCTTAATAATTGTATTGGGCTTTTGTCACTTGTACCTTAATTGGAAAGAAGTTAGGTAGAACTGCTATAGTTTTGCTTTCTGAAGCAGTAACCACAGGCAATATTGGCATCTCATGCAAAATGTGACCCAAGATAATTGTCTCCTACATACTGAGTCATAGTAAATGAGCATTTACTGAGAGCTTGCCTGTTCACTTCTTTGTGCCTTGGCTGAAGCATTTTCCCATACCCGGAACACCTTACCCCACCTTTCTGATAATGTAGCCCATGACTCCCCGCCCCCCCACCACATACACACATTTGGATTTTCTATGAGGTTGTCCACTTCTCCAATCCACACTGATTTATTTTTTCAGGAGTTGGTATGGAAAGCATCTCTGGATCATATAATCTATATTAGAGAAAGTTAATTTGGTATAGGTAAGGAGGGATCACTTGAGAAAGAGCTTTGAATGATAAATTAAGGAATTAAGGAAGACTTGTCTCACCTCAGACACATACTGTTTGTTTGATCACAGGTTAAGTCACTTAACCTCCCATAGCCCTGGCAACTCTCTAAGATTATAAATTACAGAAAAGATACTGGCCTGAATTGGTAGTGGGTGTATTCTAATCGGAGAATCCATTATAACAAATGTAAAAGCAAATCTAGATTTCTATCTTCAGAAGGAAACTGAAACCATTATTACTTGGGAGAGAGTGAAACTGGATGAGAAAGAGTATCCTGCAAATTTTCCATAGGATTAAATGGAAGAGCTGGAGTCAGGAAGAAAGGAAATAGTCTCTAGCTTTAATCCAAATAGGAAGAAATAAAGGCTTGGATTAGGTTTGTAGCTGTGGAAAGGAAGAGGGAGCTTCCAATCTAATGGACATCACAGAGGCAGAGTAGGCAGGATTCCTCACCATTGTCTGTACAATTTTGTAGTTCTCTGGCTTAGTCCTTAATTTCACTTGTATATGTATGTTACAGGGTGTGTTTCTGTAAATATACACACATATATACATATATAATGCATACAAAGAGTTAATGATAAAAATGATAAAATTATGAAGGACTTCGTGTGGAAACAGTAAATAAAATCATGTGTAAATTTCAAGAAAATGTCACAAATTTAGAGTTAGAAGAGACTTTAATCACTATCTAGTCAAAACTTCTTATTTTGTAGAAAGGAAATTGAAGCCCAGAGAGGGAAATGTCTTTCCCAAAGTGAAACACATAGTTGCAGAGTCAGAATTCAAAGCTAGGTCTTCTAACTCTAAATCCCACATTCTACTACCATGCTGGGGGGTTTGGATAATAAAAATAGATAGACCTCAAAAAAGCCTCTTCCATGTCTAGGATTCCATAATCAGTATTTTAGCCTAACTATAAAAAAAAATAGAAAATCACAGAAAGTTACAAACCCCTCATCCTCCCATTCATACTTAGATCTGAACGCAGGCTTGAGCAGCACATTGTACCATACCCAGTTACCTACAACTAATTTTGGTGTTATTTTGTTGATAATGTTAGAGCTGGTAGAAATTTTTGAGATCATTTAGTCTTACCTCCTCCCTTTTACAGATGAGAAAAACTAAAGTTCACAGAGGTTTAGTGATTTGCCCAGATCACACATTCTTTCAGCCAGACTTTCTTGGCTCCAAGTCCAAGGCTCATTCCCCTAAACCACATTGCCTCTCTAATGAAATGAAATGATGGATGTGAGAACACTTTGAAAAGGGATCAAAGAAGGTGATGTTCTAGAAATGCAGAATATACACTTTCAGAATGGCCAATGTGTTGAACTGTATGATTGATGCCTCCACACACACCTTTTTTTCCACCCAAACAAGAGAGGGTTTCTGTTTGAGGAAAGGAGTGGTAACAGTGACAATAATGAAAACAATGAAAAAAAATCATTAATGAAATACTCAAGAACTACATAAAAGAAAATGGAAAAGTTTAGGAGGGGACACCAGAATAGGACAATTTGATTACTATTGTGCTCAGTTTAACATACCCTTAAAGCACATGGGTAACATAAATTCATGGTGTTATTTGTAATCCTCTTTTGATATTTTGGATACTGAAACGTTGTTTGGTCATGACTGTCAGGTTCAAAATTTTTTTTAAAAAAGTGAAGTACTATCTATGTGAAATATACTGTTACTTTTGTAAGGTAATTGGAGCAGGAAGTAACAAATTGTTAAGATTGGCAAATTTTTTAAAAAAAAACCAATACAAGTTCTAGTGATTCTAGTGTAATGTCTTGACATTATAGCTTCTGGTGAGGACAGGAACTTCAGCAAGAATACTACGATAACCTTCCAACTAGCTCAGTCTATATACCAAGGAGACCCCAAATGGGGTCACAAAAAGTTAAATACAACTGAAACTAATAAACAATAAACAAATGTAACTCTGAATTATTCCCTCTTGGTCATTAGGGATCATTTCAAGATGTGTGTAATAGAAGAGAATTGTAAAAGATAAAATGTGGACCTCAATTCCAAGGTTTGCATGAAGATTCAAAAAAATGAGTTTACCAATAGAGAGAAGCCACAACGAAAATAAAAGCCCCGTATTGGAAACTAAAAAAGAAATTTGGTAATAAAAAGGGAAAGACTATGATTATGATACAAAGAATTCATATGGATTTGATACAAGGGTTCAGAGATATAGTCATTGTAACAGAATGAGCCTTGAACTACTGAACTATGAGCTGGGAGTTTGGAATATTAGTTTCAGCATCACTGCTCATTATCTGTATTTTTAAGTCACTTGGTT